CGAAGGCCGCCTACGCAGAAAGGTGTTCTCTGCAAAAGGTGTTCAGCCCCCCTTCTTTGGCAACACAGAAAGGAGAATTCTACTGCCTGAGGGTTATAATCCCTAAGTGCGGCCGAAGGCCGCCTACGCTGAAAGGTGTTCTCTGCAAAAGGTGTTCAGCCCCCCTTCTTTGGCAACACAAGGAGAATTCTACTGCCTGAGGGTTATAATCCCTAAGTGCGGCCGAAGGCCGCCTACGCAGAAAGGTGTTCTCTGCAAAAGGTGTTCAGCCCCCCTTCTTTTTTTTTATAAAAACTGTCTTTTTTTTCTATTTTTAATTAACTTTTTATTCTTTATTCAAAATCCCCCCATATCTAATTTGGCATAATTTCTTTGGGAAAATTTTCCAAAACGGATCCAGGCTTTGAAAAAAAAATATTAGGGAGTATAGAGGAGCTTTTTCAGATTCTAAATCTGAAGACCCCACCCTCCGGAGGCTTATAGTTTTAAAGTAATTCGCATTTAAAGTTGCAAAAAATACCGAATTTAACCTCACCTTTTGCTTTGTACACCAATTGAAGTGAAATGTCAGTGCTGCCATACATATGAAAAAATGCCTCAAAAACACAAAACGGAAGCATTAAAAAAATGCAGATAATGATCGCGCGATATTTAATAAAAAAATTTAATTATTTATTGGTCGATTTTTGATTAAAAAGTTGCATAATTTATCGAAGTATCGATTTTATAATAAAAAGCGATGTTTTATTAAAAATGTTCATTATTTATGGAAGTATCGATTTTTAGAATATAAAGCGCCGCGGTCGAAAATTTTTAATAAAAAATCGCGCGATTTTTAATTAAAAATTTTCATTATTTATGGAAGTATCGATTTTTAGAATATAAATATTAGCAATTATATTGTGAGAGTGAACAAGTCATGTTGAGGAGGCCTCCCCCAACATCCTCACCAAGTTTCATGACGAAATTCCTTATAATTTCGCTTGGTTCCGTTTTGGAAAGCCCACCCATTTCTTTTATTAAAAAATCCCACAATTTCTGTTAGTTGGGTCATATTCCACTTCAAACTGCTCAGTTTGCCTAAGAAAATTCCGTTTTTCTCCCTTTTTCAAATGGTTCCCTAGGTGCCTGTGGGAGGAGGCCAAGGGGGGGTACCCCTTTTTAGAAAGCGGCGACTGTCTCCTTTCT